AATATGGATGCTACGAATGATTTTGAAAATAAACCATCTATTTTATAAAAACAAATTTGATACAATTATGTAACTATTAATAACCGATTAAATTAATTTTTTTTCACAAATAATCTGCTTAACGAACACTAAAAACTGAATGATTCCAATCACAAGAATTGAACCAAAGTAAGCCAACAACCATGAAGTGAAGGGAATCTTCCTTCTAACTATTATACAAGAAAGGTAACACATGTTAGGTTTAGTTAAAAATAGAGGAAAGGCAAGAGAGGTGGGGTGTGCGCGGTACGGTTCGGGCGGTGCGGTTCGGACGGTTTGAGAGTAGAATTACAAATCACATGGCGGGTTAGCGGATTGGCGGATTGACAAATTGCGGTTTAGGCGGTTTTTGGCGGATTGACAGATTGAAGAATATTCTAACCAATTATCATATATTTGTATAATATATAACACTAATTTGTATAATATTTTTTAGATATAAAACACAAAGTAATTTTACATAATATGTTTCATATATATAATTACTAATTTGTAATAAATTTATATCTTAAATCTCTCTCATACTCATTTTTACATTGCAATTTCATTGGAGATTAAAAACTATATATGTATTAACTATAGCGGAGTGGAGCGGTTCGGTTGGTGAATTATAAATTTTAAAGGGGCAAATTACATATACACCCCTCCAGGTTTGGTTAAATTACAGATACCCCCCTGAGGTTTCGGAAATTACATCCCGCCCCCTGAGGTTTGTATTTTCATAACAATTTACCCCCTGAGGTTTATATTTCATAACAAATTACCCCCTAATTTCTTATGCAAATATAGCATTCAGGGGGGAATTCGTAATTTCTCAAACCTCAGGGGGGTATCTGTAATTTTGTCAAACCTGGAGGGGTGTATATGTAATTTGCCCATTTTATTTTAGAGTTTAAACCGCAGTTAGCGATTAGAGCGGTACGAATTGATACAGATCGATGTGATTTTAACGGATTATGCGGTATTTTGCACAACCCTAGAGGTGACACACGAGTCAAGAAGGAAGTGCCAAATAAACGTATTGGAAGTTAAACCCAATTTTGTTTTAGTTTTATAAAACCTGCATGCCAAGATGTTGTTGGCTTCTCCATTAAAATATGTCTTTAGGTTAAGTCCAATTAGATGAATCATGTGTCCAGAAGTGTCCATATCTGTGTATGAAACCAAAGATTGGGATTCTACTCGCCTTATGCCCAAAATGCCCAAAATTAGACTTTGTTTGGGAAAAGATTAGTTAAAAAAATTAAAAAAAACTGGCATGTTTAGCACGCATTTAAAAAAGCCAATTTCTACTAGTGTATAAAGAATAATATATTCTCAATTTAACTTTTTCACATCATTTTTTTCACATTTTTTTATACGACTAAAAATCATTAACCAAACCACCCCCAAAAAAATTACTATAAGAAATTATTCGCAAACCACATCATATCTAGTTTGAACATTGTCCGTCATCATTTAGAGCATCTCCAATCAGATTTTTTATTAAATTTGAGTTAAAAATGACCCATTTTACCAAATTTGATACCACTCGCTCCAACGATGCACTTTCATCAAATTTGTGCCGGGGACAACCGGTTGGTTGACCGGTTAAGCGAAATTTTTTTTTTTTTTTTTTTTTTTGAACTTTTTGAACCTTTTAGGTGGTCGACTGGCCGGTTGACCGGTTAGGCAAAAAAAAAATTTTTTTTTTTTTTTACTATTTGAACCTTTTCTTCGAATCGTTTGAACCTTTAGACGGTCGACCGGTTGGTCAACCGCCCGGGCAACCGGCTGGTTGACCAGTTGGTCTCTCCCAACGGTCAGGAATAGTGATTTGGTGAAATGCTTCAGGAATAGTGATTTGGTGAAATGCTTCGCCTGTTCTCCCCTGTTCTCGTTTTGGTAGAAGATTTGTTGAATTCTCAATTTGATATCGATTTGGTGAAACCGTTGGAGCTCAAAAAAGTGGTTTTTTCATCAAATTTTGAATTTGATACCAGGTTTGATGAACCGTTGGAGATGGTCTTAGAAATAAATTAAAGATAAAGGCGTACGAAACAAATTTAACTATATATTATTAAAAATGGCGAATTACACCAATAGTCCCTATAGTTTGGAATTCATGTCCCTTTAATTTTTAACTTTTCAATTATGACACATTTGACCTTGAATTTTGAATCTTATTTCAAATAAGTACAATTGAAAATATTTTTTGCTTAATTTCAAAGGCAAAATCATCAATTTGATAAAATATAAGCTAATTTGATAAAAATTAATGTCAAAAAAATATTTTTAGATTTTAAAAAATTATTTCTACCCAAAAAAGATAAAATTATGTAAAATTGATAAATCTTTTAAATATTTATTTATATATTTCTTTTACCGAATTAATTTTTATTATGTGTTTGGATGATGATTATATAATGGGTTGGTTGTTAGAATTTTAATGTGTAATCTATATATTTAATATATGAAATGTTTTTAGTTTTTAATTTTTTGATTTAATGGATTGGTTTCATAATGATATCAAAGCTATTGCCATATTTGGCTTTTCGAAAAATAAAAACTAATTTAATGAAAATAAAAATAACCACCCATTACGTAATTATCATCCAAACACATAATAAAAATTAATTTAGTAAAATAAATAAATAAATAAGCGTCTAAAAGATATATTACTTTTACATAATTTTATCTTTAGTGTGTAGAAATAATTTTAAAAAATTTAAAAATAAATTTTTGACATTTATTTTTGTCAAATTAGTTCATATTTGATCAAATTGACGATTTTACCCTTGAAACAAGATTCAAAATTTATGATCAAATATATCACAATTAAAAAGTTAGAAACTAAAATAACACAAATCTTAAATTATAGGACCGTTTGTGTAATTTATCCTATTAAAAAATAACACTAATGGTTTGTTTTGGAACTCATTAAGAGAAGTCTTTTGTTTTTCATCATTTTAAAAATGTACAATCTAATATTGGAATTATTGAGATAGGGGTTATGACTGCAGATTCTTTAAATATTCTATACATTAGTTTCTTATAGAGAGAATTGTTGAACCAGTCTAGGATTTTAATATGATCTGTCATTTAAAAAAAAAAAATCATTCAAACTGTAAAAATAATAAGTTGTTATTATCTTGGGTTCGTTTGGAATGTGGGTTGGTTTTTTGATTTTTTAGCTATTTTAGCCTAAAGTTAAAAACACTCATTCAAAATAGGTTTTTTTTTACTTTTTTAACTTTTGTGAGAGAAAAAATAAAATGATTATGAGTTGGATGTGATATTTTGTAGTACTGGACTAAAAACCCTATTTTATCTTTTTATAACTATTTTAACCAAAAAACCTTTGACTTTTTTATGCCAAACAAGCTCTTTGTTACTTCAAATGTGCATTCTAACATTAGAATGAAATATTTTAGATAAGGATTATGATTGCATATTCTCTTAAGATTCTATACGTTCATTTCTTGTATCAAGAGAATGGTTGAAACAGTCTAGCATTTTTGGTTCATATGCTTTGTATCTTTCTTAAATTCTTCATTCAAAATTTGAAGGTAACAATTTATTGTTTATTATTATTTCCATTTTATACCTAAAATGCCCCATAACCATTTAACAAATTAGTCTGAATTTAAAATTTGATCACACAATTTGCACAAAACAATTTAATCCATAATATTTGAACCAAAAAATAACACAATAGATTATAAAATTTCATTTCCAAATTTATGGGACAGAAATAAATGTCCGATCTAATTTGAATAGATCATCATCACAACATTTTGATCTATGATATTTGGCTTGAATAGATAGTAGCTTCTTCTTTTTTCTTTTCTTTTTTTCTTTTTTTATAAAAATAAAAGTAAATAATAATAATAATAAATCAGATATATATGCTATATGTAAGAACTTTACATATATTATACTTCATAAGGAGAGAGGCTCAACCAAACTATTTGTCATGTTAAAGAATTTTTTTTAAAGATAATAATAATAATAATAAATCAGATATATGTAAGAACTTTACATATATTATACTTCATAAGGAGAGAGGCTCAACCAAACTATTTGTCATGTTAAAGAAATTTTTTTAAAGATAATATTCACAACAACAAAAAATTATAAAAAAAAAACTTATAAATTGATTGCGTTTTGAATCTATCAGTTTATAATAAAGAGTCATTATTTTCATTATGAATAAAAAAATTTGTGAATACTAATTTTTTATTTTAAAAAAGGCTTTTGAGGGGGGCACAAGGACATTTTGGTCATTTAAAGAAAGCTTCTACCATCAATCGGCCACGTGGTCAAATAATTGAAATCCCACACATTATCTAGCAAGCAATTGATAACTTCTTCCAGGGTCAATTGAGTCATTTTGGACCGAATCAAGTCAAAACGACGAAGGGCAATCTAGAAATTTCAGAGAAATGAAGTCACAGAGTACGTACGCCATCTTGATTAGTTTCTTCCAAACACGCCTTCAACTTATCAAAATTAAAATCATCTAATTAATAAAAAAGTTAAAAATAAATTATAAATACATTTTTAAAATTTACTTAAAATAAGAATTATTTTTTATAATTTTAAAAATTATATTTTACTTATGAGATTTTTAATTTCATAATAAATGATTTCTTTTATTAATAAATTATCAAATTAATTAACAGATTTTAATGATATTAAAATTTTATTTTAATTAATAATTCAGATAATTTTATTATTTTATAAAATAACAGTTAGGGATTTTATTTTTTTTATTCAATTTTGCTAAATCAAAAATTTTGATAATAGAGTATTTATAATTTTTCAAACTACAAAAGATAATTTATATTTTAGATAAATTTCAAGTAAATTAGTAATTTATCCAAAAAAAAAAAAAACTTATTTTATTTATTTATATATTTTTATTTTTATTTTGGTAAAAAAAGACTCAACGGTTCGCCTATTTAAACCGATGCCCTGCTTCATCCTCCTTCCCTCTCCCTCTCCCTCTCCCCTGCATCCTTCAATCTCACACCGCATAATTCTCTCTCTCTCTCTCTCTCCAGCATTGTGCTTTCCCATAAGTTTTCTCTCTCTAGAGTTCGCGTTCTCTCTCCAGCATTCGTTTCTTGAACTTGGTACGTTCTGTCTCTGAGCTCTGTGCATTTTTTCTATTCCATGCTGTTTGATTTTCTTTTCACTCTGTGTTGATATTGTGTTGTAATTTCGTGTTAATGGGTCTCCAATTGTTGGTCTTAATTGAGAAAAAGTTAAAGCTTTTAGGGGTTTTGGTGACGATTATGGTTATGATTTTTTTATTTTTTTTCTTTCCCCTTTTTAATTGAGAGATTTTCATTCGTTTTCAGTTCACTGATACTCCCCTGTTTATTTTTCCTGCTAATTGTTTTCATATAAAATATTGTCCCTTTTCTTCTTCTTCTTCTTCTTCTTCTTCTTCTTCTTCTTCTTCTTTTTTTTTTCTTTCTCTTTCTTTCTTCTTTTTTTCTCTTGAACTTTTTCTCTTACTTTCTTGCTTCTTTAATCTAATAAAAACGTTGTTCGAGTTGTAACATGGTTCTTCAAGTCCAGATATGAAATGGAAAGAGGTTCATCTACTCTACCACATGAACTTTGATTAAATAATTGTTGTGCTTTGATTATTACTAGTCCCAAAACCTTAAGCTACTAGTAAACGAACGTAACAATGTGTATCCGCACGCGAAGAAACAAACAAATTGAGAGAATAATATGCACGAAGACAGATAAAACATAGTGGACAATGACAAAAATAATAGAGGAGAACATAGCTGTTATACCATGTTAGATCATAATGTCTCTATCAATCTTTGGAGGTTTCTTTTCTCGATTAGATACAATGTTTTGAATTGTGAACCTCAAAAAGTATGTGAATCTCAAGTTCTGGACCTGGTCCAACTTTCTTGGTTCAACATGTAGTGGTGGTTGTAGATTTTCCATTCACAAATTCAACACAGCCTTACCCCCCAAAAAAAGGGGATTTGTTTTATTCTTTTGGTGGTAGTATAACTCAATAGGCTGTAAAATGAATATTCACATGAGTTTGGGTGGGTTTGAATCATCCTGATCCGTAATCCTCACATTCTTCCATTCTTTTCTGAAGTGTTTTTAGATCAAAATGGAATTCGAGGACTGCTACCGGATGGTTCAGAGACCAAAATATGACTGTCTTCTATTTGGTAAGCTCCTGTTCAGAAACTTGGTCACTGCAAAATTGCAGCATCTGCAGTAAGGCTAATTAGCTGTGTTTATGCAGATTTAGATGATACTCTCTACCCACTTAGTTCTGGTTTGGCATCTGAATGTAGCAAGAACATCAAAGGTAACTTTGAGGCATTCTTGTTCCTTTGCTCCTTTTCTATAATGTTAATTGTTTCTCTTCTTTTTAACCTTAATCTGGTTGCGTTTTTCCAGATTACATGGTTGAAAAGCTTAGCATAGACAAGAACAAAATCCTCAATTTGGGTAACTTACTGTACAAGAATTATGGGACAACAATGGCAGGTCTTAGGGTATGGCTTTTTAGTTCCTTCAATCGTTTCCGTAAATTTTAATCCACAAGCATTTGTAGTAATTCTGAGTAATTTTTTATTTATTTACAGGCAATCGGCTATGACTTTGACTATGATGAATACCATAGGTGAGGAAGCCCTCTTTCAATTGTGGCCAGATTTGGATATTAAAATTTTGGATTCCATATGTCACCAATGGGCCAAAATTTTTGTCCCTGAAATCCCATTCCCTAATGTACTCTCAACCATATGATATGGTGAGAATCCCAAACATAGGAAGCTTAACACGTTATCATATGCGGTTGGAAGTGCATTGTGATGGGGAGACACAGATTCACTAACTGAATTTGGTTGCATTATTATTGATTGTTATTATTGGTCTTTTTTGTCCCTTATTTTTGTGGATTGCCTCTGACAAGGGTCTTCACTTCCCTGTTCTGCAGTTTTGTTCATGGGAGATTACCTTATGAGAATCTAAAACCAGACCCCATTCTTAGAAATCTTTTGCTCAGCTTGCCTATTCGGAAAGTTGTACGTCCCTTGTCACAAATATGGATCCTTCACCTGGAAAGTATTGATTTGTTTACTTACTACCTCTTCTTTTTCTTTTCTTTTTAGATCTTCACAAATGCAGACAAGGTCCATGCTGCTAAGGCTCTTAGTAGACTTGGGTTGGAAGACTGTTTTGAAGGGATTATCTGCTTTGAGACTCTGAATCCCATTCACAGGAGTGCCATATCTGATGATGAAGATGAAATTGAGTTCATGGGCTCAACATTAGCCTCTACTAGTCCCACCCATAGCAATGGAATATTTGACATTATTGGACATTTTTCTCAACCTAATCCTGAGTCAGGATTACCAAAGACACCAATTGTCTGTAAACCATCAGAACACGCCATTGAACGAGCTCTCAAGATAGCCAACATTAACCCCCTGAGAACAGTAAGATAGTCATCAACTTAGGATTTTGAATCGTAGTGTTTTGAAATTAGTTACTTTTTTTGTTGTACTCATGGATTTCGTTGTTGCTGTTTCAGCTATTCTTTGATGATAGTGTCCGCAACATACAATCTGGAAAGCGTGTAGGTCTGCATACCGTGCTGGTAAGTTGTTGGAAATCTTTTACAAGAAAAGATGGTTTTGTCTGCTTACACTAATAATGAACAATAATGGACAATTCATGCCAATCTGGTAGCTAATCCGATGCCTTTTGTCACACAATTATGTATACAGGTTGGCACTTCAAATAGACCTAAATGTGCGGATTATGCATTAGAAAGCATCCACAACATCAAGGAAGCATTGCCAGAACTTTGGGATGGTGACAAGATGTCAGAAGTCAGTTACCCTGGCAAAATCACAGTGGAGACACCCGTGACAGCTTAAAACAAACTAATGAGTCAACGAAGTTTCCTTTTGTATAAAAAGGCAGCCCAATGCACGAGACTTCCACTACTACAAAGTGTGGGAAGGATCAGAATATTCGAATTTACCGCCACACGTGAAGAGGCTGTTTCCATGATTCAAACCGATGTTTACTTCTACAACGGGGAAAATCAAGTTCATGGGATTGTCATCCCCAGTTTGTGTCGTATCATTGAATGATGTAGATGTTCATTGTGATTAGTAATCAATTAAAAATTTAGTCTTGCACAAACCGTGTTTATTAATCAATTAAAAATTTAGTCTTGCATAAATCGTGTAAATTACCTTGTTTTTTTACTCTCAGTAGTCATGATCATTTGTGATGTATAATAATCAGGAAATTGTGCTGCAACGCATGCCAATCACATGACACATTTGTATAATGACTTGCTGATGCGCGTGATAATAAAATTGTTTAGATTATTGGTGTATCAATTATTTTACTCTAAGCAAAGTAAGGGCTAAGGAGATAAGGTCGAAAATGAACCCAACCCCCCTCTGTCTCTACTTAACCAATGGTTGTGATGTGCCTGGACGGTTGCAGATGTACAGGCTGCTCATATGAAAGACTTAATGAGGATGTGCACCTGGTGGCAAGGCCTTGAGTATTAGGGGTGTGCCCCGTCCAAGGTTTAGGGATTGTAAACTCTTAGGTGCTACCAATTTCTTGTGGCCATCGGATTGGGAGAAAATTCTTGAATTAACGATGATGCACTTGCGAGCTATGTTATACGGACCTGGGTGCGGGTGCGGGCGCGGGCGCGGGCGCGGACACGGACACGGGTGCGTATTTAGGGGTCGGACACTTCAAAATTAAAAATTGAAGATACGTGGATATATATCTAAATTTGGATACGGGTACGGAGATACTTTAAATAGTTATTTTTTAAATATATTTATTATATGAAGATAAGTTAAAAAAAGTTAAGGAATAATAGATTTTGTTAAAAAATAAATATTTTAGATATAAAATAAATTATATTATATATGATAAAATAAGTTATTTTTATTTTAGATCAACAGATCAAGAGACAAGAGACGAGAGAGAAGACAGAGAAGGAGATCGAGAGACGAGAGAGAAGACAAAGTAGGAGATGGAGATCGAGCATGTCGAAGCAGCGATCGATGTCTTCGCCATTTCGACAGGTGACCAAGTTCTCTCTTTCTCTCTCTCTTTCATCTCTTTTGATGTCTGTAAAGAGCCGTGTCCGAGAGAGAACACGTGAATCCGACACAGGTCCCACACCTGCACCCGTGTCGTGTCGTGTCGACACGAGTACTTCACCCCAAAATGTCGAGTCCATGTAACACAGGTTATAATTATTGAGTTAAATGACATGATCAATTGTCTCTACATAGACCTGGGCCATGGATGAAATCATGGAGGAAAAAGTGAAGATGATATTAAACAAATAAATAAATAATACCGTTGCTAGTAGCAAAATTTTCAACATTACAAATCAACTAGTGAAAGATAAATATGATCATACGGCAGATTGAATAACAAATTATTGTATAATATAGAGGGATAAGGATCCTTTGCAATTGTTTTTCTACAACGATTTTGGTGTATTTTTTTATCACAGAAAGATACGTTGGCAAATATGCATATTTTCTTTTCTCCTTCGTTATCCATATATCAGAAGCAAACATAGGACATCCTTGGGGACTAGAAGACATCAACCAAACATGACCTTCATCCATGGCTGCTATAGATGTATTCAATCTTATTTGGAACTGCTAGATTAATTCAATCTTAACCCTCAAGAGATCACAAATGAGGTTAGGTTTTTATAATTGGCAATCTCATTTGATAAAACTCCTTTCAGTTATAAATTTATTCGCTCTTTTGTTTCAGTAATGATGTGAGTGTTTAGATGTGAATCCAACCCGAATTGTGTCTATGCAGAGGAGTTTGCGATCTTGAGGCTTACAAGTTTGTCATTTTGCTGACTATGTACAGGAATCGAGCTGCTCGGTCAACTTGTAAGGGACCAGGGGGCAGCGCCACAGCAGGGTCGAGGGGTAGCGCCCCCAAAGCAAAAAGTAAAAATGCAATCGAAATTGTTTGGATGCTCGAGCAGTCATTGTGCGCTTGAGCGAAGAAAATGATCATCCAGTATTTTTGCAAAGCACCCAAACTTTTGAGAAGAAAATTTTACCGCTCGAGAGGTGAAAATTGCGCTTGAGCAATTAGCCTATATGTTTCGCACCGCATTTAGTCACACCGCTGAAGTGGTGAAACGTGTGCTCGAGCAGTCTGTGCGATCCTGTTTTCTATATAGTGCGTTGTTCGCTGTTTTTAGGGTTTGGGTCGTCTAGATTTTCAAAGAGGAAAAAAGAAAATATAGTGTTTTATATTGGATGGTGCTTTATGAGTATTTCCTTGATGATTTAAAAGTGATCAATGGATTCATGAACTTTATATCAACATCATCAAGATGTTTGTTTTTTTGGTTTTATTCACAAAAAATAGAATTGTTCTTCGGTGGATTCCGAGGAACTTGGGTCTAAAGTTTTGGTGGATTCTAAAGTGGCTCATCGTTGTGAATTCGACATTAGTATTGTGGATTCAACATTTGACAAGACAATTCTGAGGTGTAGACAGTGGTGGAAGAGGCACATCGAGGTTGGTTTATGTGATGACCAGTGCATATTTTGCTTTACTCTTTTGAGGTTATGTTGGAATTCTCGTTGTTAAAATGTCGGGTTTTAAAAACGTGCTTATGTCATCAGTTGGATTCGTTATTTCTGAGAACTTCTCCTCAAAATTTTGCTCTTGTTTGTTCTTATCACGAGTTTTTACTCGTTGCGAAGGGTGTGGGGTTAGCGCCGGAGGAGTCGAGGAGAAAGCCAGAGCTTTTTTGGACAAGAGGGAAAGGGCCGAACGTGCGGGAGACTAGGCCGCACGTGCGGGAAGCTGGGTTTTGTGCTAGGAGCACACTGCTTAAAAAGCAAGTGCATGAGCTGAGGTGCAGAGGAAGCCGCACGTGCGGGAATGGGCGCCGCACGTGCGGGAGTGCGCGTTTTCTGCTCCAATCTTCGTGCAAAACAGCTATGTATTGCATTTTTGCCCCTTTTCACTTCATTTCCGATATATCTCTCTCTCTATACAATATTTTTTCTCTTTTTCTCTCATTTCTCTCTACCCAAACCCACAAAACATTATATCTTCTTTGATCCCAAGAAATCCATTGGGATTTTGATGCTAGTCCCTTATACCAAAATGATGAGCGTGTCGAGGGCTTCGTCTTGATCGGTGGAGATCGTATTTCGGCGAGGTCGGGTTTTGGGGCTTTTCTTCTCTTCTCTCTTGAGGTAGGGATTTCTTGAGTTATATATACATGTTTTGCTACATTGATAGTGGTTTAAGAGTTTTTCTCAAAGTTGTATGTTGATTTTAAGAATTGATTTAAAGTATAGAGAAATTTTAAATGTTAGTTTCCAAAACTCAATCCTTGTTACTCCATGTTGATAGTTTACTCATATAACCTAAGAAATGTGATTTTAGTTGGGATGTACCAAGGAAATGAGAAGTGTTTTGTCTTGATGAAAAACCCTAAAATTTGAGGATTTTGGCAAATAAGAAAAAATACCTATGAAATTCTTTGTTCTTTTATGTCAAGAGGAGGAAAGTAAGTAAATTTCATTAATATTTAGAGAAATGACTATCTATGTGAGGTAAAAGAAATGAGATGTTATTTTTTTTTTATAATTGTTTAACACTAGAACATGGATTGTTGGAAAATGATAATTGGTTGTGTGCCTTGAATTGTAAGAATTGTAAATCTTGGAGAGCTATGTTGAGAACATAAAAGATATATTCGTGAAAAGGCTAACTTGCTATGAATTGTGCATGGCAAGTAATTGTGGTTGTTGCTATGAATGAAAGGCATGTGCTTATGTGTGGAATAACATTGCAAGAGAAGAAATGAGAAATTTAATTTTATGGATCTTGTTGAAGAGATATTTGAAAATGAAGAAATGTTATGAGATATTAATTATTGTATCGCATTCTCATTAGATATATTATCATTAATGTGCATGAAATGTTAGATGGGTATGAATGTCTACATATATACGTAGATGTAACCCCTTTTATTGATGAAAAAACATCTTATACTACAAAAGATTTTGAGAGTAAAGATTAGCATCTACATGTTGCATTGGCTTAAATGGAAGTAAGTGTTGAAAGAGCATGGGCGATGGTTGTATAGTTGCACATGGTCTAATGTTAATAAACTCTTGACTATTGGTTGGAAGAACATGGAAATGGTGAATGGAATCGCTTGGTAATGTTGTTGGAATGACTTGAGAGTTTTCCATGAGACATGGAGAAATGGTTGCATTGCATATTCATTTGATTTACTATCATGCATGGTGTATTTAAATTGAAATCATTTACTTCATGAAAGGGAAACGTATTGTAATAAGAACCACGGAAATGTGAAAGGGGTAAATACGCTAGTAAGTCCGGTTAGGAGGTGAAGATGACTTTGATAAGTTGGCCTAAGTGTCCATGGTGAAAGACCAGAAAACCGAATGGATAGGTGTCGAGCCTTCCGGTTAATACCGGTAAAAATGACAGTTTGGTAGTACTCGTAGAGTCTACTTGCAGACACCAGCCTAGGGATTACCAGTGTCGTATTTACCACCCCTAATGGCAAAAAGGTTAGAAGTTTGGAAATGTGTTAAGATTGCAAGTTTTTATTGGAAGATGGAAATCTTTAAAAAGGACATGAAATGGAATTTTCTTTAATAGGTGCATGGCATGGCATTGACGTTTGCATGTTCATTGAAGTGTTTGCATAACTGTATATACTTGGTTAGAATTCTCTGCTCGGCTTTATGCTCACCCCTATGGGATTTGGTGCAGGTAAAGATGTGGTGATCCCGCCGAATTGAGGGCCTGGATATTTCTTTTGTGAAGAGTAAACAGCTCTTTTATTTTTGTTGTGAACTTTGTAAAGCCAAGGGCTAAATGTGTATGGGTCCGAGAGACCATTTGTGTAACCGGGTTATTGCCTTGGAAGATGTAAGCCTGCGAGCATTTTATTTAATTATAATTCAGGTTACACTCATTTTATGTCCGTATGAGAGAACCCTTATTGTTGTATTTCTTGTCATTAAAATGAGCTTTTGTATGCTAACTCTGAAATTGAATCCATTGTTAATGGCTTTGGTAATAAATTTCGAGTAATAAAAAGTGGGGCATGACAGTTTAAATTCGGGTGTGGATTCGCTAGGTAATTGAGAGTACACTTGTGTAATTCATTTTTATCTTTTTAGTGGATTATTTTGTGGTTTTGGCCTGTGATTTTTTATCACAATTGGAGGCGCTCCAATTATGATTTTTTCACGTTAAATCGTTTTGTCGATTTATCTTTGATTGTTTGATTGTGATTATTATTTTTTGTTTAAAAATTAAAAACATA